CACAGGGGGATAGCTTGAGGCTCTGTCTTAAAAAAAAAAAAAAAAAAAAAGAAAGTTCCTTCTTTGGGATAAGGAGGAAGGAATGAGAGAGGGAACTGAGACTCCAATCTGTCCTCCACCCACACTGTGTCCTGTGACTTCAGTATCACAACAGCTGTGGGAAGTGAGCATTATTTCCCTCACCTAGCAGATGGAGAAACTGAGATTCGGAGAGACTGGATGTCTTGGTTTAGGTCATCTAGCCAGTAAGTGGCTCTGCTGGGAATCCAATCCCAGCCTGTCTGATTTCATTCAAAGTCCAAAGGTTTTGGGCTTTGTTGCTATGAAAAAGATGTGGATGTGCCTGGGAGTGTTGCCCAGTCAGTGCCCAACCCAGAGCATATCAGGCTGTCTCTATTATGAAGGTGGGGGCTGGGGTAGGGAAGGAGTCACCTGCCTGGGGGCCCCTGAAAGGCTCCTGTACCAGCCATAAAGTGAGGGGCCTGGGGTGGCTTCAGCACGATGGACAGGTTGAGGAAGGTGCTGAAAACAAACGCACCTCTGCAGTTTGATCTCTCCCCACCCTGAGCCAAGGCTCCTTAGTCCGGATGTTTATAACTGAGGTCAAGCTATTAGTCATCAGAGGACCGTACAGACATCCCCACATTACAAACATCCAACTGATGCATGACTCTCACTCACAAATGGGGGCTATTAAGTGAATAGGTAAATGTACCTGTTCCAACCTACATACAAATTCAGCTGAATGACAAACCTACAGCACCTATCTCATTTGTAACCCTAGAGGCTGCTAGTCCCCCATTCTCTGAGGGGGACATATTCCAAGACCCCCAGTGGATATCTAAAATCTCGAATAGCACCAAGCCCCAGATATGGTCTGTTTTTTTTTTCATACATACATATCCATGATAAAGTTAATCTCATAAATTAAGCACAGGAAGACGTTAACAACAATAACTACTAATAAAATAGAACAATTATAACAATAAATTATAATAAAATCTGTGTGAATGTGGTCTTTCACTCTCTTTCAAAATATCTTACTGTACTGTACTCACCCTTCTTGTGATGATGTGAGATGACAGAATGTATACATGGTGAGGTGAGGCAACACTGGCATGGTGACCTCACTTTAGGCTACTGCTGACCCTCTGACCATACCTCAGGATGACCAGCTACTCTGGTGTTAGGAGCAGACAGTCTTGATGACTGATGGGCAGGCAGCACGTGTGGCCTGGGAATGCTGGACAAAGGGATAATCCCATAGCTCAGTGGTTAGAGTGACAGCCACATGTATTGGGGCTGGTGGGTTTGAACTTGGCCTCAGCCTGTTAAACAACAATGACAACAGTAACAAAAAAATAGCTGGGCATTGTAGCAGGGCCTATAGTCTCAGTTACTTGGGAGGCTGAGGCAAGAGAATTGCTTAAGCCCAAGACTTTGAGGTTGCTGTGAGCTGTGATGCTACAGTACTCTATAGAGGGCGACAAAGTGAGACTCTGTCTCAAAAAAGAAAAAAAAGAAGGAACAATGCACTCGTTGGGCAGAATGGAGCAGGATGGTGCAAGATTTCATCATGTTATTCAGAATGGTACACAATTTAAAATTTACAACTTTTTTTTTGAGACAGAATCTCACTGTGTCACACACTGGGTAGAGTGCTATAGTGTCACAGCTCACAGCAACCTCAAACTCTTTGGGCTTAAGCGATTCTCTTGCCTCAGCCTCCCAAGTAGCTGTGACTACAGGTGCCTGCCACAGCGCTCTGGCTATTTTTTGGTTGTAGTTGTCAATGTTGTTTAGCAGGCCCGCGTTAGGCTTGAACCCGCCAGCTTCAGTGTTTGTGGCTGGCACCCTACTCACTGAGCTATGGGCACTGAGCCAAAACTTATGACTATTTTTAGAATGAAATTTTTGGAATTTCCATTTAATATTTTCAGAACGTGGTTGACTGCTGGTAACTGAAACAAAAAGGGAAACTGAGGATAAGGCAGGAAAAATCAGAGCAGCAGCCTTAACAGAGTGGTCTGGCTTCTGCTGTGTCTCTCTCCTGGCCTGGCTCATTCTGTCCTGTAGGCTGAAATGTGTAGATTGACCACCTGTGGTCGACACAGCTGCCTTTGGGGATATTGTCTAACACCCCAAGTAGGAAGACCAGAAAAGCCTCACACCTCACAACCTAGCACTAGATAGACCTCACTTGAGACCTAGAATGCCTTTACCGGCAGATAGGGTTAGGCAGGGCAGACTAGCCCCAGGGAAGCCTACTCATTCCTGGCACTTTGCCCAGAATACTTTCATTTGCTGACACTGGGAGTGAGAGAGAACAGGTGTTCTCTACTGTCAGCAGCCTTGGGCACTTCCCTCTGCTTTGAAGCTACAGACAGTCCGCTGGGAACTTTTGAAGTGAAAGAGCCTGGGACCCCACACACCCTGGGGTCCAGCCTTGGGCCAGGTGCTATGCAGAGGCTGTGGAGAGACCAGACCAGCTCCTAATACACTACCCACAAACGCCACAGTGGGTCCCCACCTTCTCAGTGCTGGGGGGTGAAAGGCTGAGTGATGTTGGCGGAGGAAAGGGAGGCTCTGACTCATACTAGGGAGGGTGGGGCAGGCTTCCCAGAGACAAAGAGTTTGTCTTATGTGCTGGACTCTGCTCGGATCCAGTCACCCGGCAGCAGGGCAAGAGCTGACGTGGCCTCACATGCCCACACGTATAAAAGGGTGAGGTCTCAGGTCCTGCCCAGGTGGCATGGTGTCTGACTCCCCTTGAATGTCTTGTCATCCAGAAGGCTTTTTTTGGACTCTCCTGCCATAACCCTCTAGCACTCTTATTTCTGGAACAGTGTTTCTGCTCCGTGTCTGCTCAGCTGTTAGTGCCTTGAGGCCAGGTGGGCCTTTCCTGATTAGCTCCTGCATCCCCCACAACACAAGAGCACAGGTCCTGGCAGAAAGCCAGAGTGGCCGCCCTGCTGACTAGACTAGGGAGCCCTGGTGGCCAGCATTCCTCTCCCCTTTGTGCCCCTCTGGGTGTTTTACATATATGTAAATCTCGCTGGTTTTCTTGTCTTTAAATTTGAAATATATTTTTCAGCTAATCCTAATACAACCCTACTGAGGTAGGCACTATTAATATTCTTATTTTCTTTCTCTTTTTCTTTTTTTTTTTTTGAGACAGAGTCTCACTGTGTCACCCTTGGTAGAGTGCTGTGGCGTCATAGCTCACAGCAACCTCAAACTCTTGGGCTTAAGTGATTCTCTTGCCTCAGCCTCCCAGGTAGCTGGGACTATAGGCGCCCGCCACAATGCCCAGCTAGTTTTTGTTGAGGTTGTCATATTGTTGTTTAGTTGGCCCAGGCCGGGTTCAAACCTGCTAGCCTCAGTGTATGTGGCTGGTGCCATAACCACTGTGGTACGGGTGCCAAGCCTAATGTTCTTCTTTTCTTTTCTTTTCTTTTTTTTGAGACAGAGTCTCACTTTACTGCCCTCAGTAGAGTGCTGTGGCGTCACATCTCACAGCCACCTCCAATTCCTGGGCTTACGCAATTCTCTTGCCTTAGCCTCTCCAGTAGCTGGGACTACAGGTGCCTGCCGTAACGCCCAGCTAATTCTTATTTTCCAATGAGAAAATAGACTCAGAGGTTGACTAATTTACTCAGAATTACAGAAGCTAATAAGATGTAGTAAAGTCTGGACTCAAACCCCGGGGCTAGACTTGGGAGCCTGACCTCTCCGTCTTGAGTGAGTGTGGAGACTGACAGGCAAGTCTGCCCCTGCTTTATGTCCAACAGCCAGATGAGTCCCGGGAAAGAATTTGTGAAGCCGTGCCAGTACTCTCAAGAGTCCCAGAAGTTCTCCTGCCAGTTGCCAGTGCGAGAGGGGGACTCCTCTTTCCATGTAGTGACCCTGTGTGTCGCCAACAGTTTGGGGAGCAAGACCAGCAGGACCCTGACATTTGATGGCTTTAAAATCCGTACGTAAGCTCTTCTCACCCTCCTGCTGTTTCCTTCTCTCTTGATTTAATTCTTCTTATGGACTTCTTGGAAGGCCAGGCAAGGGACGGTGGAGGGGTTTGGAGAGCTGATGCCTTTGGGCATTAAGGAATGTGGGGCAGGGATGGACGAGGGCCCTGGGAAGATGTGTGCTGGGAGTATCTGGTGCCCTTGGGGGCACCTCTGCACTGCACCTACGGCACAGGGCCACCCCCCTTTCCCACAGTGCAGCCCGACCCACCTATCAATATCATTGTCACTGCTGTGGACAGAAAACCTCGCTGGCTCAATGTCACCTGGAAAGACCCCTCCTCTTGGAACTCATCATTCTACAGGCTTCGATTTGAGGTCCGATACCAAGCAGAACGGTCCAAGACATTCACACAATGGATGGTAAGTTCATCTTTTCCTTCTGGGCAGAAAAGCGGGTAGGACAAGGATACTAGAAAGAAAGAAGGGCTCTAGGTCCTGTATAGTCTTGGATAAATCTTTTAACCTTTCTGAGCCTTGGTTGCCTCATTAATAAAATGAGAAGAGAGATGCCAGTCCAAGTTCTCTTCACAGGCCTATGAGTGAGAAGGGGAGTTAGCCCAGGGAAAATATTTGGGCTTGCAGGATTTTATGGCGCATGGGCTGGGTGCAGCGACTTACAGCTTCAGCCTGTGTTGGTCCTGAGGGCAGCCCTATCTCCATCTGAACCTCCAGGGTGGTATGAGCCCTTAGAGTTCACAGCCAGGGTGGCAAAGGATGCCATCTCTCCAGGGGGCAGCCTAACCAGTGCTACCCCAGGCCCCTACCTAGAGCTGCTGTGCTTCCCATCCTCAGGTCAAGGGTCTCCAGCATTACTGCGTTATCCACGACGCCTGGGCAGGCATGAGGCATGTGGTACAGCTTCGGGCCCAGGAGGAGTTTGGGCACGGACAGTGGAGCCCATGGAGCACAGAGGCCACAGGCACCCCTTGGACAGGTACTGTGGAGGGTGCGGAGGGAGGAAGGGATGTTGATTCAGCATGGCTAGTTACCCATTATCTATTGTTATGTGACAAATCATCTCAAAACTAGTGGCTTAAAATGGCAATCATTTATCTATTTGAGATTCTGAAAATAAGTCCGCTAAGTAGCTTTTCTGCTGGTCTTGCCTGGATCACTAATGCAGCTGCCATCAGGCCTGGCTAGTCCAAGGTGGCTTCACTCACATGTCTAATGGTGGTGTTGGATGGTGACTAGGGACCTTGGTTTTCCCCATGGCTTCTCATTTTCTGGGAGGTCTAAACTCAGGGCAAGCAACATGGGGAATTACTTCATGACTGAATGGGAGGAGCTGCAAAGAACCATAGGCATATTTAATCTACAACAGTTCCTAATGCTTTAGTTTTTGTTCTTTTTTTTTTTTTTTTTTTGAGACAGAGTTTCACTTTGTCACCCTCAGTAGTGCTGTGGCATCACAGCTCACAGCAACCTCCAGCTCTTGGAC